AATCCCAAAATCATTTGTTTTCTTGAAAATAGACTTGATGCACTTACAGAAAGGAGCAGAAAAATGCAGTCAACCCATCTCCTCCACTGACATCACCACCATGCCCCTAATTGCCCTCAAGTTTTATCAATCCATCCAGGAATTAATGAATAAAATATATTCATTATGATGATGCCATGCCATTAGGATGATGCCATGGCCTGCAAAAAGTTTACCCACCTCTTTATACATTCCTGCCCATAAATCCCAGCTATCTATCCTATGTATTTAATATATTCTCATATAAGTTATATTCCTTTCATCATCCCTAAAAGCTTTTGAATCTGACCAGGGCTAATCCATCTGAGCAGTGAGAAATCAGCATTTCAATATTTCTGCGCTACCGGTTCCACTATAGGCTTAGACTGACTTTTCTTGTGATGCTACTACTGACAGTTATTTTTGCCCATTACCATTTTCATTTTAAAAAGGCCAGTTCCTTTTTTCTATACCACATTATCTACCACATCCACATCCACATCAGAGTAGTGAGATTCCTTAGGCTAGTTTTATACTACAAAAGATTCCTAGTAGTCATTACCAACTGAGTTGTAAATGTCAGAAATTTTATAGGTCTCTGTGTGAGGCATTTTAAACATCATGGATACCAAGAATTCCTCCCAAAGCCAAACCAGGTCCCTTTAAATGCATGAACTTTGCAGACACAAATATAAACAGATAGGAAAAGGCCAGAAGCTGGCACTGAGCCAAAAATTAACAATATTTTCCTTCTCAGATTTTGTTTCACAGCTAACAATCTGTCTCAATTACAAGATGTGTGATGAGACCATCTTAATCTAAACATCTGTAGAAAATTGAGTTATATTGTTTATAAAGATGAGATGGTATGATTCAGCATATGTTTAATATGATCTTCTTAAATCAAGGCGACTTAATCAAGGGAAGAGTTTAACTGAGGCTCTCCAAGCAATAATGTCAGCCTTTATGACAGAGGGGATAGTGCCCCAGCCTTGAAAGAGGCAGTAATGTGCTCCCTCCTCAAGAGACCCTCCTTCTACATAATGGTTTGGGATATCTATGGAGGAGTCCTCAATCTTCCTGTTTAGGAAGAAGGTTGTTGAGAAGGTAGTCAGTCTGCAGTTTATAAGGATCTTTGAGGAAATGGATTAACTAGATCTGTGATGGCGAACCTATGGCATGTGTGCTGGAGGTGGCACACAGAGTCATCTCTCCAGGCACGCCAGCCATCGCCCGTTGGTCTTCTGGGTTCCAGCATGCACATGTGCGCTGGCCAACTGGTCTTTGCATGCTTGGGAGCACTGGAAACTGGAAGAGCAGCTCCCTGGCATGCATGCACACGCTGGGAAACTGAACTTCCGGCTTCCTGCCTGCGCATGCACGCCGGCCATAAAACCAGGTGACCAGCACGCCAGAAACCAGAAGCTAAGCTTCCCCATGCATGCATGCGTGCCGGGGAACTGCTCTTCCGGTTTTCGGTGCTCCCGCGGTGCGGGCCAGGGAGCTGCTCTTCTGGTTTACGGTGCTCTCCCGCACATGCATGCTGCTCCCATTTCAGCACTTGATGCCAAAAAGGCTCGCCAATACTGATCTAGACCCGTTTCAGACCGGTTTCTGGCCAGAATTAATACTGAGATAGCGTTGGTTGTGCTTGTTGAACTGTGATGGAGCTGGGGTGGTGGTTCTGTATCCATCCTCAATCTCTTAGTGGCTTTTAATAGCATCATCCATGGCTTCCTAGGGGCTTCCTTATGAGCTGGCTTTGTGGGTTGGGAATTGCAAACACCAGTTTATTGTGATTTCTCTTCCTTTCCCTAGAGTCGCTTCTAGTCAGTGTTAATTGGCTGCAAGAGGTTGTCCCCTAGGCCCCATATTTGTGAGGTGCCATGGGGTACCATTCTCTCTCCTCCTTTCCAACAGGTACATGAAACTGCTATGTGAGTTCATCTGCCATTTTGGGGTTCAGTAACAGTATATTGTTGATACCCAATTATATCTTTCAACTCTAGGATGACCAAGTGAGGCTGTCAAATTCTACCCATGTGCCAGGAGGCTGCTTCGGTATGGATGGGCAGGAACTATCTCCAGTCCTACCAAGACTGAGTGGCTTTGGGTGCTTAAACCACTCAAGCCATCCAGAATATGTGAGAATATGTGAGAATATTTTCCCATGCAAGGGTGGTATACTATTTGGGAGCTTTCTTGGACTCACAACTCCTGATTGAAGAGCAGGTGGCAACTGTGTTCAGTTTCATCTGATGTGCCAGGTATATCTTTTCCTAGATGGGGTGGGGGGATGGGGGCTCCAGACAGTCACAGCTTGACTACTGCAAAGTGCTTCACATGAGGCTGTCATTGAAAACCAGACAGAAACTGCAGCTGTTTCAGATTGCAGCGACAGGGGCAGTGATGGGCATAACTTGGTAAACTTGGTGGTCAGTTTGTTCCAGGTGTGATTCAAAATGCTAGTAGCCATCTGTAAAACTTTACATGGCATAGGGCCTGGTTACTTTAGGGACCACTTGTCTCCCATTGTATCTGATCAGCCGGTTCCATCCACATCCAGGTTAGTGCTCCAGGTTCCATCGATTAAACAGACCCATCTGTCTAGACCTCAAAAATGCCTTCTCTGTAGTAGAGCCTGCCCTCTGTAATGAGATTCCTCCTGAAATTCAAATGGCTCCCACCTTACACATATTTCAAAGGGTTTTTTACCCTTTGAAATATCTTTGGTGAGATCTTGGGTGACTGATGCCTCTTTCTTCCTTTCTGTTCCCCTCTGGCTTTGTTTTCTTTGCCATTGTTATTCTCAAGTCTTATGCTGTTCTGTGGGTTTGGGTATTGTTTTTTGTTCTTAAATATTTTTTTTAACAATTGTAAAACTCCTAGAGTTACTGGAAGTGAGGCAGCATATATACCATATTTTTCGGAGTATAAGATGCACCTTTTTCCCCCTTAAAAGGGGGTGAAAATTTAGGTGCGTCTTATACACTGAATGTAGCCCGGCCCACCCACTGGCCCCCACCCTTTGGCCTCTGCCTCGCAGCAGTTACCTCCTTGCAAGCAAACAGCAAGAAAAAACAGCTCCTTTCAGTTGCAGCACAGCCTAATTAGCACAAGTTGATTGGATCGGCCTCTCGACTCTCAGCTGTTTTGCACAGGGTTCTGCTGCTTGCTGCAAAGAGGTAAATTGCTGGAGCAGATTTTTTTTTTCCTTGTGCTAATCAAGCTATGCTGAAAATGAAACTGAAAGTAAAGCAGGCTGCTTGCTGTTTGCTGCAACGAGGCAAAATTGCTCATAGGCAGAGGGAGATTTCTTTTTCTTCTTTTCCTCACCAAAAAAGGTAGGTGCATCTTATACTCAGGTGCGTCTTATACTCCGAAAAATATGGTATTTAATAAATTGTTATTATCTGTTCACAACAATATGAAGTCACAGTTGCCAGTTCTTTAGCTCAGCGATTCCCCCCCCCAACCTTTTGGGCGCCAGGGATTAGTTCCAAGGAGGATGTCCCAAAGGTGCTTTTTCAAGAGGCAACTGGACTTTCGGGTTTTTCTTTGAAGACGTTTCGCTTCTCATCCAAAAAGCTTCTTCAGCTCTGACTGGATGGTGGGGAATGGATGGTGGGGAATGGAAGGATTTATACTATACTTACAAACAGCTGGCCATTTGCATCATTTTAGCGAGTCGGGTTAAAGTAACTGTGACCCTGTGTCCTCAGGGTCAAAGAAAATTCAAAGAAAAACCAGAAAGTCCACTTGCTTCTTGAAAAAGCACTTTTGGGAGTGTTAGATCATGGGAGGCAATGAAGAGGCAGGAGGTCAGACAGTAATTCAGCTCTTTATTTAAGTGAGTGACTTCTGCCAAGGCTTAGCCGGCAGCACTCCCTTTTAAAGGGAGCAGCCCCACCGATTCAGCCACTGACAACGCTTTACATTTCCCTCCGTTTGAATCCACCAATCAGTGGCGGGCCCGTTTGAATCCACCAATTAGTGGTGGGCATGCAAATGTCCAGTTAAACCCGGACCTGAGTGAAGCCTACATCCCTGGCTTCACTTGCTATTTACATATGTAACAGGGAGAACCATGACCTAGATGACTGAGACGCTCCATAGACATCTATAGAGGATGATTTTTCCACAGACCAGGGTGATGGTGGTGGTGGTTTCGCATGCTGCCTGGATCTTGTGCGTGTGCAGGTGGGGCTTCGCTCATTTACATGGCCCGGTTCCTAGTGGGCTGCGGACCGATGGCAGTCCGCACTCTGGGGCATGGGGATCCCTGCTTTAGCTCATGTAAGCCTCAAATTATGATCGTGATGTATTTGTATGTTGGAGAACATTAAGTACAGAGATAGCTTAAATCCTATTATCGTCAATAAAAAACAACAATTGCATGAAATTACTCAATAACGACTACTTTTTGCTGTTGAAAGGCCCTTGATTTCATGCATATGTTTGCTTTGTTTTAACTTAGAAGGCTTTGGATTAGTCCAATGGACATTAAATTAAGAGTCTATTGAAACAATTCTTCCAGTAAGGTACAATCAGCAGCTGTGTACAATGAAGTGCTGAATCAGATTTATTAGCCCAAAGGGCAGGGTTATTAACACTCTTCTGGGTTGTTTCCAGTGGCACCATTCCAGCCATGTAAAGTGTCTTTCAGTTGCGGAAATTCTGTTTTTAGCCTTTTATGTGTGCCAAAGCCAATACTTTCATAGGGCTTGTGCAACTCACTGCACAAGTCCACAGGCAACGCATTTTAGAAGCTCTTTGAAGTACTTTTAGGAAGCAGAGAAGTTCAGGCTCAGATGTTGCTGAACTACACTCCTAGCCCCTTACCATTGCTTGGTTGGGGCTACTAGTTGTTGTGGTTTTCAATTAATGTGCAATTCATCAGGTATAGGGCAGGGGGCTCACTGTTTTAATAGTGATTCTTCCACTAGCACTAACAACATATCACTTATCTTTTTTTCTACTAGAGCAACATCGAGGAAAGCCTTTTATTCCAATGGAGGGTTTTACTGAACCAAATCGTTTGAATAAATCACCTGCATTGTCAAGGTTGCAGATGATCTGCTTCAGAATAATATCCTTGCAAAGCAATTTAATACTACTTCCGTTCACTTAACCGAAGAACAACAAGGAGATTTGCATCAAAACCTACAGGAAATGCTGCAGACAATCAGCTGAGACCTTCTAAACACTCATTACTATTTTCTGACAGACCTCAGCAAGAAATCCATTTCATGATCTCAGAAAAAAAGGATGTGCTGTGAATCTTTTCCTTTCTACCTTTTAATTTTGTAACGGGAAACTTCTATTTTCTCAGCATGTGTGACATTTTATAAGGAGTGCTTTATTAAAATTGCCTTTATGTTTTTTTAAAAATTATCATGACCATATTAAGTGCTATACTAATGAAAATTATAATTCTAACAGAAACATAGTTATATCCTTCCTACTGCTCCTTCAAATTATTATCCTTTGTTAGGGTAAAACAAGAGTATTTACTCTAGTGATTTTGACTGCTTTAGTTTGTGGGATAGCATTCTACTGGACATCCTCAGAATTAATTGTGAAACTTGTGGATTTACAATTTCTATTAATACAATACTATATTATTAATAAGAGCTGAAATAAGTATAATTAATAAGGGCAGAAATTAACTATAGCATAAAACAGGAAAGTATTAAATCTCGTAAAATGACAGATTGGTGTAGGAAAATATTAGAATTAACCTTGTAACATTAACTTATTTATTGAGGTTAACACAACTCTTTTAATGGTAAATTTATATACAATGCATATTATTTAGCAAGTGAAAGGTACATTTCAGTACAGAATCCAGTTACAGTTTTGTTTTATATGTGCTCCTATTAGTCTTTGCTGTAACTTTTTTCTAAATATATCTTTATTTCACTATTCCTTATGAAGGAAAAGTAAATAATAGGATACTGTACAATGTTAAGCCTCAGAATGAAATTTATTTTTATACAGACTACCAGGGAATATATCTACACTTACATTAAGCTGTATGCTACCATTATCATAGCAATTTCTGGACATTTCTGTTATTTCTGTTATTAAGAGCCTTGGTGGCGCAGCAGACTAAAGTGCTGTTAAGTAGCACCAGCTGCCTGCAATTACTGCAAGTTCAAATCTCACCAGGCTCAAGGTTGACTCAGCCTTCCATGCTTTTGAGGTAGGTAAAATGAGGACCCAGATTGTGGGGGCAATAAGCTGACTTTGTATAAAAAATAACACCGCTTAGCGGGGGCCAAAAGCCCTACTAAGCAGGTATATACAAAAGTATGAAGGCTATTGCTTAATGCATTGTAAGCCACCCTGAGTCTTCGGAGAAGGGCGGCATATAAATTGAACCAATAAATAAATAAATAAATAAATAAATTTTTTTATAATCTTGTATGAACAATTGAGCTTTGGACGGAATCCCTTCTGGATATACTAAAATGGTTTAAAATCCTAGTTTTAACACAGCTGCCAAGAAAGAAAAAGTGCTATAAATCCATATATTTTGAAATAAATGTAAGGAAAGAGAGCATTTTTCTAATATAAGTTAAAATTATGACAGCTGAGCCTACAGTACAAATAATGGAAGTATGAAATATAAAATATTAGAAATTCCTAAGCGTGTGACAGAATTATTCTCTTGGTCTGTGGTTCACTCACTATACATCTCCAAACTGGTTTTTGTTCCTGATTCTCAGTTTGTAGAGCTCTTTTATTATTTTTCTGTCATTTTTATTTATTATGATTTTTTACTGCTAAGATTACTGCATTTACGATTAGCAAAATAAAATTATATTGTAGAACTGGCTTTATAATATTTTTTTAACACTGACTTTTGGTTCAGAGAAGACAGTGAAGAAATTTATGTTTAGATAACTATGTATCTTATTTTATTCAATATGCACTTCTGAAGCGTGAATCTGCACACCTCTTGTGCTGCTGTATGAGGTATAGGAGATATACAATACATACATTTACAAGATTTAAAAACAGACTAAATGATCTCCCATTTTTCCTGCAAGTGTAGCATTGCAGTTATGGCACATGTTTAACACAAATGTTAAAGCACCCATGACCCTTCCTAACTTCTCCCACAATTACAATTATGCGTTGGTGTGTGATGCTTGGCCCTGTTACATATTTCAGATTCTGAGTTGTTTTCAGAAACACAATCACAGAACAATTGTATGTGAACAAATGGTAGGCATAATAACACATCAGAAATTTCTATTCTCAGTTCTGATTTCAAGATCACAAAATGTCAAGAGAAAATGCTATTAAAAATCTGTTTATTATAACTAACAGTTTTATAACTAATGTGGGCCTTGTGGATCAAATTCTTCATGCTCATGTGTTCAACCATAGAAGTCAAAGAGGACAGGCTGAAAAATCTGTTGCAAAGACCACCATAGTTTGGCCACAGATCCAGCTTTGACACATGCCACTGTTGAGCTAATTCAAAGACATGAGTGTTATTTGCTGACAACGTCAATGATGATGACTTCCATATATCAAATGCTAGAGAGAGAAGTTACAGTAAGTATCAGTTGATGCCAATAATTTCTGATCCAGAAAGATGTGAATCAGCACTGATGTTCAATAGGTCTGATCCAGTGGTGAAATCCAAATTTTTTTACTACCGGTTCTGTGGGCATGGCTTGTGGGCGTGGTGTGGCTTGGTGGATGTGGCTTGGTAGGCGTGGCAGGAGAAGGATACTGCAAAACTTCCATTCCCACCCCACTTCAGGGGAAGGATACTGCAAAATCCCCATTCCCTCCACACTCCTGGGGGAAGGATATTGCAAAATCTCCATTTCCACTCCACTCTGGGGCCAGCCAGAGGTGGTATTTGCCGGTTCTCCGAACTACTCAAAATTTCCGCTACTGGTTCTCTGAACTGCTCAAAATTTCCGCTACCGGTTCTCCAGAACCTGTCAGAACCTGCTGGATTTCACTCCTGGTCTGATCCAACTTCATAATGAATTTAGAATTCAGATTAAATTATGGGAGGTCTCACATCAAGGAAAACTAAGATAAACTACCAAATTAATTATGAATCAACTTGCTGTTACCCTTATAACTGTTTGGTAGTGAGAAAAAAAATGCAATATTTAATGGGCGAATAAGTATGGTTACATGACATGGGCATCTCTTCAGGAATAGTGTTTGCTAAGATATACCTTTCTTCAATCTTTATGTTATGTTGATTTTTTTTTTTAAAAAAAATCTAAATATTATTTAGGGAGGTCACATTGCTCATTTAAGCAATGCCTTAAAGTAGTTCTTCGCCCTTTCAGAACCTTTTTGCTTGATTTTTTTTTTAACGAGAATGCTTTTCATTTATTCTATTTGAATGCTGAATATACCTCCTTAAAAAATCATTTCCCCTGATTTCTTCTTAAGAATTACAGGGGCAAGAATTTTTTTCATGACTGGGCTAACACAAGAGACTAACTCAACGAAGTATTCATCACATTTTTTGCTCTTGAGCTCAGCAATTTAGTTTTATAGCCAACTAGTGGGTGAAGGAAGGGAGAGACCCAAGAAGCTGCAGGCTAGGAGACTGGGACTCAGCCCTTTGCTTCTATCCCTGTGTATATCATCTACACATTTGCCTCGCTATTTATAAAGGAAAGAAAGTTTGTATGGAATAGCTGTGAGAAAACCCGCTATAAACAAAGGTTGTGGAGTTTTATCTAAATCCTCAACAGATTTACTAGAAACTAAATCTTTTCCATCACCATTGGCTGTACTGGCTGGGGCACCTGTGGATTACAGACTTGCATTTCAACCTAGGACAAATATGCCCTGGCAGTCCCTTTTTTTTTTTTCATGTCTCCAGGATGTTGTTTTGATTTTATCCCCAGTTGATACTTATAGCAGCCAAAAGTCAATGGTTTTGCTTATCATTTTTGGTGCACCTGAATTCAGGGCACCACTGTCCACTCTACCAACCAGAATGGAGGCTAGAGAAGCAGCAGCAAGATAGGGATTAGCAACAGGAACAGCCAATTTTATGCTGATAATAGTTTTCTGCTGTTTTAAAGATGGGTGGATAGCACTTTAACTGTGCTTTGGGAAAAGATTCTTAGTTCTGCAATACCTAGAGACCACAGTTTCCTCTTATTTGCTGCATATTGTAATCGCTTATTACAAGCATTCTGTTCCTCTCACTCCTTTTAATAAAGTGTGAGGAACGTGCAAACTTTATTCTTATATTTATTTGTTTGAAGAAAACACGTGCAGCTCATCAAAATTGAGGTTTTTCCCACATTATAATCACAGTATAATCTTTACAAAATGTTTAAATCATCCTTTAAAATACCAAAGCAATATTTAACATACTAAAAAGTGCATTCGTCATATATTAATTCAAAGTGGTAATGTATCAAGAGATAGCGAGTCTTTTTTTTTTTTAATTTGATTTATATGCCGCCCTTCTCCGGAGACTCAGGGCAGCTTACAATGTGTTAAGCAATGTGTTGAGTCTTGGAGAATAAGAACAGTTTTGCCCAGTGTTTAAAGACAATCTTAGTAGGCAGGAAGCATGTCCAAATGGTGAACATATTCCAGAATTGGAGGACAATTGGAGTTGCTGCTCCTGAAGCTTTGCAGCATATGGAAGGGTAGGGAATAGGGTTTTAATGGGCTTGTGAGGATAACCAGAGCACCTTCTTCAGATAATGTACACTTATTATGGACTTTATAGTTTTATACCACCACTTTGAATTGGGACCATTAATGAATCGGAAACTACAGATTCTAAACTGTTATAGAGTTAGGATATCTATAGGAACATCTTTCCCTCATTAAAGCATTTTCCCTCCAGTTTTTTTTTAAAGTTAGATTATAGAGATGATATCATCTGGATATTCTACATACTATCATGAACATGCTTGGAAATGTACCCAATCAGGCAGCAGCTAGCTTTGTCATTCAAAACAGTCTCAAAACAGAATTAATAAATTAAGAACGAAGAACCAACTCTCTTCCAAAAAAAAAAAAAAAAGATCGCAAGCTGAAAGCTATGAAAAATAATGGGCGTAGTGCCATGTACGAAGGAAAAAAGCTCCCGGTAGTGTAAATTACAATTCTTTTCGGTTAAAAAAATGGAAAAGAGACCTCTGTGGTGATATGCAAAGCCCTTTGTCAATCTTTTCTTACGTCGCAAAAGCTGAGTAAGCTAGACTTTCAGGTAATGGACAGTCTTTGACTTACAACTATTCATTTAGCAACCATTTGAAGTTACAGTGACACTAAAAAAATGTTCTATGACCAGTTTTCATATGACCGTTGCAGCATACGCGTGGTCAGGTGATCAGAATTTGAGCACTTGGCAACTGGGATGTATCTATGCCAGTTGCATAATCTTGGGGGTCATGTGATCATCATTTGTAACCTTTCCAGTGGCTTCCAACAAACAAAGTCCATGGGGGAAGTCAGATTCACTCAACAACTGCATGATTCACTTAACAATTGCAGTGATTTGCTTAAAAACTGTGACAAAAAGATCGTAAGATGGGGCAAAACTCACTCAACTGCCTTGCTTAGCAACAGACATATTGGGCTTAATTGTCATCGTAAGTCAAATACTATCTGTAAAAGGCCAAGGAACAAATGATGATGATGATGATGATGATGGGGTGTGTGTGTGTGTGTATGTGTGTAATTTTATATATGTTATACTTGTCAAAACATGTCCAGAGTACTGAAAATAAGTGTACTATCAGTTTATGTAGAAAAATAACTTCTGGGACATTATATTTTCATATAAATATATGAAAATAGTTTGTCTAATTGGAAATGTGCTGGACACTAAAATAATATTTTTCTAATTTATTTATTTATTTATTGAATATTTTTCTAATTTACTCATATAATAGTAGTAATAATGACTATGTGACCAATCAACCAGAAGTAAAATGACTAGCATGAAAGCAAATATAGTACCAATAGTAATAAGTGCCTTGGATGCAATCCTAAAAAATCTGAAGCACCACTTTAATATCATTGGCATTGACAAAATCACCATTAATCAATTGCAAAAGGCAGCTTTACTTGGTACAGCTTATATCCTGCAGTGGTACCTATAATGCCATTAAACAACATCTGCCTATCCTAGGATTTTGGGAAGAACTCAATAGGTGGATAAAAATGCCAAATCTTGTCTAAACATCTGGCTGGCTGTGTGACCAACCATAATAATAATAAAAAAATTTCAATGAATGGCCAGGAACCATAGCATCCAATGTGACTCTTGTTAATTTGCATGAAAATTGATCTGGCATATAATTTTGCCACTCTTAGACTATGATTCTAACTGCAGATTATTAGAGAGGAGGAGGAGGGGGGGAGGAGAAGAAGAAGACGAGGAGGAGGAGGAGGAGGAGGAGGAGGAGGAGAAGAAAAGAAGAAGAAGAAGAAGAGGAGGAGGAAGAGGAGGAGGAGGAGGAGGAGGAGGAGGAAGAGGAAGAAGAAGGAGAGTAGTTCTTTTTTAAATTGTTATTTCCATTGTCATGAACTGTCACGGAATACCTCTGAAAGAAAAAGAAAAAAGACAAAAAGAAAAATACAGATAAAATTTAAAAATACCAAACATGCTTCCCTATTTGAGAGGGTGACTCAAGTTAAAACTCAGATAGGAAGATATGGAAAACTGCTGCCTCTGTTCCTAGATCCTGAAATGATTAGATGAAAATACCCTTTGTTGTACTTTTTGGGACAGCAAATTCATACCTATTGTGAATTGTACTCGGCACTTAAAATAATTGCCCCAGCACTTGGTCAAATGGTACATGAAGTTCAGC